GGCACTGGCCCATCCACTGCCTGCCCCGTGTGTATGATCTGCCCTGCTCGGGGGGGAGTGTCTGATTGAGCTGGGACTCGCACCTCCCTGCTGCACTGGGTTTTTGCCTCAAAACACTCGGCTGAATGCAGGTAGACCCAGCTCTGCACAACAGAGCCCTCTCTCGGTGGGAGGAGGGGATGGGGAAGACAGTCCGGGCACCTGCATCAGAGGGAGCATCGTGCCAGGAATCTGGCTCCCTGTAAGTTCCCACCCAGAGGCAGCAGTGCTAGCGGCCCGGGAGGTGACAGCCCGGACGCCTGGGTTTCCTTCTCAGCTTTGTGAGGAGAGAGGGAGGCTTGGGAACTGGAGCAGGGAGACGGGGGAGGAGGAGTCTGGACTCCTGGCTCCGATTGCTGGCGGAGGGGTGGGAAGATGATGCCCTGGTCCCAGCAGGATGGTGCGCACTCTGGGCTGCTGGGTTCATGGGCAGCAGGTGTAAGGGGCAAGGGAAGGTATTTCTTCCCAGGGTCATAGTGCCACCCACTCTCTTGTTCCGACCTCTCTGCCCACCCTTCCTGCCGGCTCCCACAGCTCTCTGGGACCTGCTGACTCCATGTAGGAACTAAAAAAGGAAAATCTCTTCTAGCTTTCATGCCGCTTAGCAGAACGTTTCTTTCTCTGTATGTTAAAGAAAGGTTTTCATGAGGGATGACAGAGTGATGTCATCCCATCCCTCTGGGTCCCTGCGACCTTCTCCCTCTCTCCCCCTCTTCCCTCTCCTCTCTCCCAGCTCGAGCTCGACCTCGCTGCTTCCCCTCCACACCAGGAATTGCTATTTCAAACCAAGCCAAAACGGGAAGCTCTGGGCTCTACAGACAGCTCTGTGGAGGGGAGCAGCGCAGGAGAGGCCCCTCCACGCCAAGCTGCTGCTTTCCCCACAACAGGAGGCTGCAGTACCCCAGAATGCCACGTGCACACGGCACTACCTGCGCCTCACTGTGCCCCACACAGCGCGGGCAGGCACACATGCACCTGTGTTAGACCCAGGTCTGGTGTGTACTGTTGCTTGGAGATGGGAGTGAGGGAGGGAGTGGAGGAAAAGAAAGGGTTTGGAGTGGCGGGACCATGGTTTGCAGCGGGGAGGGAGAAGGAATGCGGGCTGGCACGGGGACTTGGGAGCCAAGACAGCTCTGCCCCCAACTCCCAACGTGACCTTTGCCAAATCCTTTCCCTTCTAGAAGGCTCAGTTTCCCCACACTAGTCAGACTGGGTGGGAAGGACCCTCATGAAATCACTGCAGCCATAGCGCCTAGGGCTCAGGACAAAGTAGGAAGAGATGGGGTTGAGGGGAGGAGGGGCAGGCAGAGCTGCTCTTGAATGAGAGCCAGTGGAGATCCAGCATTAGCCTCTCACACCCAGAGCTTCCCTGCACCCCACGCAGACACTTACCTGTGCAGCTGAAGGGGGCGCCAGGCTGGCTAGGCGAGAGGTAGCCTTCCCGGCAGCTGCAGGTGTAACTGCCCGGTGTGTTGGTGCAGATGGAGTCGGGGCCGCATAGCGATGGGTCTCGGGCACATTCGTCAATATCTGGATGGGGAGGAATCCAGATTGGCCACGTGTGACGTTAGGACACCAGTGTTCTACTGCCCCGGGCTCCTCACGCTGACCCAAACCCCAATGGATCCAGTGGGAATCTTTCCACCAGCCCTACGGGCCTTTTCCATCGTTCACTCTGCCTTGTGCCTGAATGTCACGTTACTGGAATTTGAGGGAAGCAGCCAGATCATGGCTGCTCCCATAAGTGGGGGTGCTGGCCCCAACAATGATATAGAAGGGGGCCATATGGGGTATTGAATGGGAGCTTGTTGTTTGCTGATCCTGTGTACGCTATTTATGTGAGTGTATAATGTCTGTGTGTGTAGATAGGAACCTGTAATCTGTGTGGAAGCTGAATATTTCTCTGAATGTGGTTGAGCATTGCTATGGACAGGCTGATTAGCGAAGCCCTGTGGGACAATGGCACTTGATGGGCCAAGGACACACCTAAAGCATGAGGGTGGAGACCTAAGAGCTGCCAGCAGAGAGAGGCTGAGGACCAGGTGACCGGCTGAGACCAGAAGAGGCCAGGAAGGGGGTATAAAGAGGCCATGTGGTCGATGCCATTTTGTCTTCAGCTCAGCACTTCATCCCAGAGGCAGCATTGCAGGGATCGAAGAGCCCGGAAGACCTGTGAACCCATCCTGATCGTAGGATGTGCAATAAG